ATAGACCTGAGCAGTCCTCCTAGCTGCATTCACTTTAACTGTAGGATACTTGCAAATAATGAGTAGGCAAATATGAAGTACTGTTTTGTATTTGGTCAAAAAGCTACACATTCAGACATACAATAAAATCTCACTAAATCAGTTCCAGCGACTAGAATAAGGATAACAAAGTGCCGCTTAGTGTATTTATTTCCCTAGAGAATTACTCTACAGATAGATAAAAATGATTTGTAATGAGCATACTGTTGTGTGACACTACAAACTTCAAAATTACTTGAAAATTAAAGTTGCCCTATTAACTATTTTGAGCATTTTACACTGTAATTACATTTCTACAACTAGTTTTCTTAGCAAAACCTTTTTCGAAGATTAAAAACAAATTCTAGTCCGACTTCTCTTGGAATTCCCACAAAATAGGAGTTAAGAAAGCTCAATACAAATTTTGAGACAAGTATCAATAAACATGTTGCTAATGTAACAAAGATAATTCTTTCAGAAGGTTGTTTGAAAGCATCTGGGAAATAAAGGAATTTTTGGTTAAATCTTTACTTATATATTACCTAATTTTTGCAGTTCTTCGAAACAATGTTCACATACTCTTGCTGGTTGATTTTTCAGGTAATCTAAGCCATACTTATTTGATGAACAAGCTTGGCATACAATCTGATAAAACACATTGGAATTATTTTATTAGAAACACTTTTGTTTCCAAACCATAAAGTATGCTACAATGTATAGTACCGTCCACTTTTCAAAACAGTTTGATAGTCATTGAATCTTACTTCATCTTAATAATAACTCAACAGAGTTTAAGCATGTAATGAACTAACACACAGTATCACATTTGAAAGATGAAGAGGCCACAGATTCCTGAGTGCTTACTAGATAAAATAATAAAGGAGTTAATATGTCCGAAATGCTTAGAACATTGCCTGGCATACAATAAATCCTGTTAGCTGTTCTGATAGCCATCATCGTGGTCAACATAATCATTATCATTGCTGTAGCAACGACCACTTCTCTGCTCCTCTAACAAGTGTCCAGCTCTGTACTAAATGTTTTCTAAACAGGATCTCCTTTAATCTTCAGAGTAACTCTGTGATGTCATTGTTACTATCCTCATTTTACTAATACTAAAAGTCTTGAAGGCTTAGAAATATCACTAGGGATAGCTTCAACACTGAAAGTTCCCAATTAGCTGTAAATGTGAGGGTCTATTTTAATTGTGGATTTGTTAGTTGTTGTTTTTGAATGAATGTTATCTATTACTGACATTCTAAAGTAACTTTGGGTTGGGAGGGGGGAAGTTCCCTAACAAAATTCCCCACACCCCTAAATATTTAGAGAAAACACCATCCATGTTTTCCATCATCATTCTTTTGTTGTTGTTTTCAACCACTATGGTTTATGATGGGAAAATCACAACGTAGATGAGTGTTATCCTAGCTAACCTTTCCACAGGCTCGGCAGTGGTGTCGTCTCCAGGTCAGAGTAAATTCACTTGTGCAGATCATACACATTGTGGCTCTGGTATCAGGAATCCAGATGGGAGCCTTTGACCCAAGAGGACTAACTTCCTCTTTATTTTCTGAGTCTGCCTGTGGAAGAAGAACAACTGATTATCTCCATGCACACTGCCTGCTACAGAATTGAGCCTTTTTATTTGGTAGTGGCATCTCACAGTTATCACTAAGGATGTGGGTTGAAATATGGGCCATTATATTTTTCATGTGCTCAGACTACTAAGATTAGCTACATTCTGAAAATCCTCTAATGTAAAATTAACTTAAAAAGATGCCTGTGGTAGTAGGATGACAGCCAAGTAGTTTCTTCCTTTAACTATTCTGTATTTTCTAAATTTTCTACAATGAAGTTTTAAAACTAGGAAAATACACAGATATGCTATATGGTATCACTGACTTGCAGTTAGACATTAATAGTAGGATAGACACTTAGTGCTGAAATTAGACACACACCTCCAATCATTCTCTGATATGTTGCTTTTCTAAACCCCTGAGAAATATATCTGAAAGGTAAAAACTGTTTGAAATGCACTGAAAAAAAAAAAAAAGAAGAAGAAGAAGGATAAGACAATACCTCTTCAAGACTCCTACTAGGACAGAAGGTGATTCTTTTCCGGGCATAGTCTTCTATTGATCTGGAAATCGCTTCTAGCCATTCATCTCTTTCTGTGGCAGAACTGTTGGGGGCAAAAGAAGGTTCCATCAACCAGATGTCAGCTTTTCTTCTTTTCCTGCACCCATGGCAACAAATCCTACCACCCTCCAACAATACCAGAAAAAAGCACTTCTAAGGTTTTATGGGAACAAATACTCAGAGTAGGCAACAGAGAACCTATGGCACTCTAGCAAATGCGATGTTTTTCTTCCCCAG